AATTGATACTGATGAAAGTGCATCACAGACCAAAAAGAAAAAACCAGTTGCAAATCAGCTTAAAAGCTGAACAAATGCCACGACACCCACAAATACCCGGATGAACGCGGGCGACAGACCGACGACGAAGGAGGCAACCAACATACTAACGAAACAATACATCAATGCAAAGAAAAAAATTGAACAGAGGTACAAACTTACTTCGATCAAAATGCGGTAGGTGTGATGCTGTCGCGTAGCGATTTGCTGCAGCAGTCGGTCGCTGAGCTGAAGACGTGAACGTCGACGTCGACGATGATGCGGCTGGTGTTTGCAACGAGTGCAATAACGATGACGTCGAAAATCGAGACGATGGTGGTAGAACGACCGTCAAACCGGAAGAAACTCCTCCAGCTGCTGTCCCTGAAGTGAAAAGAGGTGGATTATATGTCAGATACTTCTACGTTCTAGGTAGGTAAGTAAGACGTTGCACCACTGTATGCATGACTGTACAGCAAGGCTCAAGGCAGTACTTTAGCTAATTTGGTCAGTCTCCAATATAAAAGTCAAGATGCAGGGAGGTGCAGCCGTAAAGATGAAACTAAGAGAAACGGCCTCAAGTCCGCAAAATGGAGCCCTTACATTGCTCGTTAATTGGGGGCAGTGGACGAGTTTTCACAACAGCTGTCGCTGCCAAAATGAGCACGAGACCCTGCTTCTCTTATGAATGGCACGTCGTATATGAGCCAAGGCCAGCGGCTGGGTTACCTGCTTGAAGGCGGAGCGAAATTCAGTATGGCCTTGTTGAGTCTTTTCAAGTGTACCTTTCGCCAAGACAACCCTCACCCATCATATGCTTGAACCGCTGGTCTCTTTTTGGGAATAATTACCTCACAGTAACAGTCGAAATACAGTACTCAGTGGTAAAGGTTGCATCAAGTTTGGCTATCCCGGGTAGATCTCTAAAGAGAAGACTGAACAACACTTCGTGGTGCAATGAGAAAGTTGATTTTCAGCCTGAGGACGGACAACACCCTATTTAGGAATAAAATTACTAAGAATCTGCGGGTTTACAACCAAAAACGGTGGATATTCAATAAAATAGAAATTTAGGCTATGGATAAGAAAATATATTAGGGTGGTGAACGACTTCGCGCTACCCAAGCGCCTTATCGTGGATACGATCTAAGAAAGGCACCATTGAACAGATTCGCTAGTTCGTCACCGGAACTAATGGAAAACAAATCGTCGTCTTATCAAACCTGTTACTCAACTACCAGTCCTTTTCGTCTTTGTGGGTCTATAGAAGAAACTTTCGTACTGCTCAATACGTGACTCTTCCAAGAGCGACACGTGAATAGGAATTGGACAAAGAATAGAACACGCTTTGCAATTCAAAGACATTCATATGAACGGCAATAATCGTACCGGAAACTGAAGATGAATTCGAGCAAAAACTGGCGGTCGTCGCACCGTTCGCGATGCCACTCAAACCCAACTGACGTACGAGACCTGGTGCCGCGGGTGAGTCGCTGAAATATAATGCGATTCAGCAACGGCGGAAACATATCAGTCGAAATAGATTCTTGAATATCAAATGAATGCGACTATGTTGATTCTAGGAATTTTATTCGAACACCGGATTCACTAATCACTGTACGAGGGTCCCTACTACGATAGCAGTGATGTCAATAAAAGACAAATAATGATGACATGCGAAAGATAAAAGTGCAAATCAATGCGAGAATATTGACAGAAAGGAGGAAGGGATAAAAGAAAATGAATAAAAAGATGACCAGGATGTCAAACGCTTCACACAAACACTACTGAACACTATCAAGTACCATTGAACACTAATCCAAGAAAATTGGAGAAAATTGTCCTCGGAATGTGGATGAATTTTATAACTAGCAATGTTCCCCTACCAAGACTTTTCTGAGGGAATAAGCAAGCCATTGCGGAAAAATTGAGAAAATTTACGAGAATTTATTCCTCTTGTACATTTTCAGTTTCCACACCACTGTGAATAAGTGAAAAAGTTCATTTCAGAAAGCGATTTAATGGGCAAGGGAAACACTACCTGTGCACCTACCGCCAACACCTGATTGGCCGGAAGTAATTCAGATTAATCACATTATCACTTGAAACAAAATATCAAACTACAGCAGCAAGAACATAGGTTTTTTTTTTCGAACAAAACGAATCGAGTTTTTTGACAGAATTGTTGAAAATTAATTCAATTCATCTCCTACGTCCAGATCTATCTCTCGAACACTGTCCCTCCTTAAAACGGGTGCACAATTCTATTTAACTGCTCAAAGTGTGTTTTTCAACTGCACCACACCCACAGCCTCAATTAACAAGTAAATAAATTGTATTATATTTCGAGGTATTTCAAATAATAAAATGAAATATAATGCAATTTTGTATTGAAAGCAATAAGCAGTAAACTGGAACACCTACGTTATCAGGAAAATCGATTTCAAGCGCGAATTTAAAAAAAACTCAGCTAAAAGTAGTAGTTATCAATTTGCAATCACCTTATCACCTTAGCCTGACAGCGAGAGGATTCCTTCAAGGTTAAAGAGACATGTAGAGCTCAAAGCCGACTGATGAGCGCGTGACTGAACCCTTGCTGCATGTCAAGGATAGGGTTAATATGATTAGGGAAGACAATCTCTAATGCGCTCGTTATAATATTGTCGCCCAGCGACGCTGCTCTACGGCGGATCTCGTGAGCACGAGATACTGTTGTCTGCTGCTTGAACTCTTAGGAGCCCTAATCTATCGCAAAATACCAAAGCACCCAAACCAATTATCCTTTGGAATGAAACTATAAACAAAGAATATCTGGCGCGCTAACGGGCAGTCATACTGCGGCCTGATCGCTTATACTCAACCTTTCTACCTAAGAGAGGTATGCCACTCTACTTTGAGGCAGAGCTTGGAAAACGGCTCCGATCTAGAACTCAATTAGGGTGGAGACGAAGAAGAATGAAAAAAGAACAACTAGTAAAACGAGAATAAACCCGAAATGAGACCATTCTTCGCCCGTTGATTATCATCTACCGTGTGACTCAACACTAACGCTTTTTGTGCCAAGGGGCTGGAGCCAGACGGCGAGGAGGTGGGAGGGCAGCAGCGATAGCGGCGCGGAGACGGGCATGCTAGATGGCGGGGGCAAACCGCTCGTTGCAACTTGCGTGGCGGTCTGAACCCTTAGGGAGTCACACGTCTCTCAACTAGACCTATCCCCTTCCTCGACCTTCTACCTTGTCGTGGAATCCTCCTTCAACTCCACTTACACCGCCATCCCAGGCTGAAGCAATCATTCTCAGTCCATGATAGAGCCCAACGTGACCGTTTACAATTAAATGCCTGGCTAGTATATGGTTTGGATACGTGATCAGTGCCTACGACCTTCCGCTCAGAAGCGCTCCAGATGTCTGTAATTGGCATACGATTGAGACCGACTTCCGACTGCAAGCGCTTCTAAACGGTCGTTGGCATATAGGAATAAGGGGGGGGGGGGAGAGGGGATGAAGTCAGGCGGCCCTCCAGAAACCTGTCACGATACAACACGAGCCAACGGGCAACCCCTAGAACAGACCAACATAAGGCGGAGGAGAGGGAACGGTCATGAGCCACCGAGAACCGCAAGGCGAGGAGCGCAGCAAGCGCAAAGCGACTTGCTTGAACGTCCCTGCCCCAAGACACTCATTAGCGTGAAATTGCGAGTAGTAGACCATGCGACACATTGGTGGATGAACAAGAATTGGAATCAGTGACCTTTTATTACGCGCACAACAAGCCACATGCGGATACCGTGGCCTAACACCTAGAAAGACAGCTCTTCAAAACAACCGCACGGAAAGGGTGAAGAGATATCGAACGTGACAACGTAGGAGCAAGAGAAGATCGGCCATTTTGTCATCAGTGCCATCTTCAGACAGTTTTGGAGTTCTATCGTCTCTTGTGAATTATCGAGCAACACAGGCAAGGGACGCGAGCTTGTGTTGCGTACAAATAATGAAATAAACAACTAAACAAAAAACATTATGGGCCACAAAGAGGTCAAGGAAGAAAATCTAGGAAGAAAAAAGTTTAATCAATCATGAAGAGCAAAGAAAGAATTGGAAAATAAAGAAGAGAAGAAGAGAAATCGTAACTATGTAACTGTAGTCGCAATCTGGCATGCATGAGCTTAAACTATGAGCTGCCTCAGTTCAAATGGGCGAGCCCGTAAGCCAGAATACCAAATGTTGGACCAAGAGGCCTGGAAAAGTGGGAGAAAATGAGGGAACGAAGAGCTGAGAAATGGTAACAGTTCATTTTTCATTTCAAAATGGCCGACACATAATTTGACAAAATTTGTTAGAAATAGGAGTCTTCCCGGGGTATATGGAAAAGGAGTTATTTTCCATGGAGCGTCATCACTGTGGGGACGAAAATAAGGGCATCTGGTAAGTATTATTATGGGGCAAAAGCAAGACCACGTCCTTCAAATGACCTTTCAGGCTTACATAATATTATAATTTCTTCCCTCATTCAGCGTTCCGACATATACAGAGGAAACTTACTTATTTGCTAAGCAAAAAAAGACCTCTAATTGCATTTATTACAATTACAGGAGTACTTTTCCCATGAAAATTTTTACAACCTAGTTAGCAGAATAATTAGATTACGGGAACGTTTAGTAACCCATTCTGAGTCCTTCCACGCTACAAATTTTAATAAAAAAAGCACATATGAACTCTGAATGGCTCTCCAGTCCACGAAAGAAGAGATGACATCAGGACTGAGAATTCGTCTGAGGCCAAGCACCTCTCCTCATCGTTCCAGATGCTCACATGATCACCACGCAAGGACAAACATATTCGCGAATCTAAATCGCTGTACTAACGTGGTCGCTCGGGCGGTCTCTCGCAGAAGCACTGCCCGCTCTCTGATCACAAACACAGTCGGCAAACATGGGTCGCCAGAGTCTCAGCTGCGAGCGGCGAGCCATAAGGTCCAGAGAGACGCTAAACAAAAACCCATATGGCCACCGCCGATAAGAAAGCCCATTCAGATCAACGACTCAGTTGTAGTCTTACATGTGTGGGGAGAAGGATGGGAAAAATGACACCAGCCTTAGACCCCCCCCCCCCCCCAACGACGGCACAGCCGAGCTTCTTGGGCCCATAATTGAGAGCTACTCTTAGCCCGGGATGGAAATTGTATTGAGTTGCTTTGCATCGCGCTCTCGCGCCGAAAGACGTAGTCACCGAACTATATCAACAACTGAATGAAAAGCGTAACAGGAGAAATCAAAAATTGGGGAAAAATTGTTGGAAAAGGAACCCTAATAATAAAAACCAAATATTAACTAATTTGATAATTAATATGAGCATGTTCCCCATCACAGAAGTTAGAAGATTTGCGCTTTCAAATACAATAATAAAGTACCACGATTTTCGACTACACTTTCAACCACTTTCATAAACACTCAGCCCAGTGGAAAGGTCAGCGGATCTGTGCATGACTTGCGCCGGCTCTATTTCGGACACGATATGTCAATATTCCGTAAAGCCTCTTTTAAAATATACCCAAGGGACTTGATTTGATTGTTAAGGCATAAACTTCCGAGCCGCTGCAAGTGAAAACGCGATAAAACTGCATTACCTATGTCTCTAACACGAAGAAATTACATACGCAGAATGACCTGTAATAGGAGGAGGGAATGCAGAAAAAGTAGTAAAGTAAGGCCGTCAGTAGGCAAAGCTACTGGGGGGCGGGGTTCACGCTGGGAGAAACCTAAAGATGCGAGACTTCCTTGTTTTCTAGCTGATGCAGATTTCAGTGATAGTGTGCCGATGCGATGGATGCGAACTGGCTTATGCAATGAATTAAAGGCAACAACCCCGGATAAAACTGGTTGGGTAGGGATCATGAATATATGAGTGCCGCCGAGTGGAAACGAAAAAAGAACCAACAAACCGTCAATGAAGCCATTGACAAGTACTCCCTCTCTTCCTCCTCCCAAATAAGGAAGGGGCGGGGCCGTACGAGTTTCTCTGTACATGCTTCTCCACGGCTCCACCAACCAGCGCGTACTTGAATTAGTCGCTACGCATTGGCCACGCAGCCAATCACGCGATTTCCACGGCTAGAAAATGGGTGTGCCGATCAAAGCGACAAAATTGGCTCTCACTTCAGTTGTAGCAAAAGTATGGATCCATTTGGGGTTGTTGCTTTAAGGGGCGGTCAGTGTACTTGTCAGTACTTTGTACTCTCAGAGGACGTCACAACAATTGGCCAATTTTGGAAGGATGGAGGGAAGCTTGGATTTGACGGAACATTTCCTGATACCCGACATGCGCGTAGATATAATTTTCACTACATCTCCTTCGCCCATATTTACTACTCTCATCACCTATAAAATAATCCTACGCCTCGTTTCCCAAATGTGAATTGACTGTTGAAATTCTATTGAAGACAGAATCTACAAAATCTGTAATCAAAACTTAATCCGTACAATGCTACCCTGAC